TAAATCAGTCACAATTAGTTACCAACCACATTTTTCGGTAATTAAGGTAGATTCTCTAAGATGATAAATCTTTTAATAAATTATTCCTTTTTAGAAAATTCTCCAATTTCAACATTACTCACTCAACATTTTAATGTTCACATAAAATTCTAAAAAATAAAAAAGGCTTGAAATTTATTTTATTAACTGCTTATTAATAACATTTTTTGTTATTTGATAACTAGGAAAAAACCTTATCAAAATCAACCAATAAATTTGAAAATATTCAAAACTTAAAAAATCTCTTATTATTAAAGAAAATAATACTTTGTTGCATATAGCTTTTTGGAATTTAATTGAAATTGCTTGAAATTACTAGAATTAATTGTCAATTACTGGAATTTTTCTGCTGGAATTACTGGAATTCTTTTTGGAATTATCAGCAATAATTTCTTTTCAAAATTTTAAAATTCTTAGAACTATCGGAATTAATTTGGAATTATAGGAAATTATTGTTGAAATCACTGGATTTTTTTTCGAATTGGAATTAGTTGTACAAATTTTTTTCAAGTAAACAGCCCCTCGTATTAAAACTTCTAGAAGCAGTGGCCTAGGTATTTAGAAAAAAAGTTGACGGAAGAGGCAAAAATGCTAAAAACATACAGGGTGATTCAAAAGTGTTGGACCAACTCTCGAATGGTGATAGAAGACCTTCAGCTAAGCATAAAAGTGAAATCAGATTTTAGTTTCAAACCGTTTTTTTGAAAAAAAATCAAATCTGTCAATTTCCATATTATCATGTAGGCATCTTAGTTATTTTGTTTCCGATATGTATAGTCAGATTTAATTTATTGTTAAATTTGCTAGTTTGTTAAATGTTTTTTATTTTTACATCACAAGTCACAGATTGGTGATTTTTTTTCAACAGCTTTTTGTTCAATCTTGCAAGATCTGCCGTTTCCGTTAACAAAATTTAAGATTAACCAATCTAAATGAACAAAAATCTGATCTTTAAAAAAACATATCTTGAAAAAAATAGGTCAAACAATTTTTTGTCATGGAAACTTTTAACTCAGTTGGATGTCCTTTATCACCACCCTAGAGATGGTCCGACACTTTTGACTCACCCAGTATGAAAAATTATTTCAATAACAAAAATTTCTACAATTTAGATTTTTTCAAGCGTTTATTTACGTAATTAATGACTATTTTCAAAAGTTTTAAAGCAAGACAAAGAAAAATATGAAAAAAAAGAAATAGATTTAAATCTAAGATTGTTATTTGGACGCTGTTTTGGAATAACAAAACAGCTTGTACAGTAATAAATATATTTTGTTTACAATGAAAATATTTCTTAGCCTAAGTTGATGCCTGGCGGCAACTACATCAAAATCGGTCGCGATTCGGCCAAAAGCACCTGTCTCGTCTTCGCCCCCCTCGCCGAAGAAGTCGGCGTTTTAGCCAAATGCCTCAACATTTTCAAAAAACACGGCGTTAACCTCCTCCACATCGAATCTCGTTCCTCGGTTCGCATCCCCAACAACTACGAATTCATGATAGAGTGCGCCCCCACCGGCGACCTCCCCTCCGCCATCGCCGAAATCAAGAAAAACACCGAATACTTCAACATCATCTCGCGAGATTACAAAGACAACAAGGATTCAGTGCCGTGGTTCCCATGCCGCATCCGTGACTTGGACAAGTTTGCCAACCAGATTTTATCCTATGGATCGGAGTTGGACGCGGACCATCCCGGATTTACCGATCCGGTATACAGGGCAAGAAGGAAGTATTTCGCGGATATTGCTTATAATTATAAACATGGAGAGAAATTACCACATGTTGACTACACCGAAGAGGAGATTGAGACCTGGGGGAAGGTTTTCGACCAACTGACGACGCTGTATCCCACTCATGCCTGCAAGGAGCACAATCATGTGTTTCCCCTGTTGATAGAAAATTGCGGCTATAGGAGGGATAATATTCCGCAGCTGGAAGATGTCTCCAACTTTTTGAAAGGTAGGTTGTTAAATAACAAATTTTTGAATAGATTATAAAAATGAAAATTGAATTATATCGGGTGATTCAAAAATGTGTGGCATAATTTTAACCACAAATATCCCTCTACAAATGGAATAGATAGCATAGTATTTATTAACCCACCTCAAAAAATAGAAAAATTACAGCTTTTCAAAAATCGGTATAAAAAAATATTTTTTGGAAATATTTTTGTTATGGTTTATCCGATTATTATGAAACTTTGCATGTTAAGGGACAAAAAGACAGTTTTTGATATATTGTAAACAGAAGTCTTGTAAAAGCCATACATTTCCGGTGGCAATAAAACCCTCCCAATTTTTGGGTCATACTTTTTTTCGAGCTATTAACCTCTGTTAGTTGGAGAAAGTGTGAGAAAAAATCCTTAACAAATAAAGGCGCTTGAAGCGTAATCGGAAATGTGGGTAGTCCTCAACGAAAGCATAAGGGCCTTCTTCTAAGATGACGAAGAGGTTTTTCCGAATCCAGATCGACGGGTTTGCCACATAAAACTAAGTGACCAATACACGCCAACAGAATTATAGAGAGGATAAAAGGGGAAGTTCCATTAAAGAGGGTCTTTTTTGACTATTTTTGACCAGTTTTATTGACAAGTTTCAAAATATTTAACAGACTATTATTGTTCACTGAGATGATGAAAGTAAAAATTACTTATTTGTCAGAGGAATTGGGGTCATCACAATACGTGAATACATATTTTTTTCTACCCTCTAAAATCCATTACACAACCAATTTTCCGCTCTTGTTTTTGATACTAAAAGTTGAAAGCCCCATCGTTTTGTAATAAAAAGGTACTCTTGTTTCATATCGCCAAAATGTACCGTTCTCGAGTTAACTAAACTCTAACTAAACTAAACTCTACACCGCGCTGCAAAAACAGAATTTATGAATTTTGAGCGTAGCGTTACCTTGGAAACAATCCACTACGAATGACATCGCTGTCACATTTATGTCAATTTTATTAAATCCTGAGTAACATTTGATTATTTCTTAAATAATTAAATAATCATAACGTTCATTTAATAAATTATTAGGTTGGTGGCAAGACTATACATACCGAGTGTTTTTAGAAGTAAGTATTGAGAATTCTGACAATGATATTTGTCTAAAAACTTGTATACAGGGTGCGCAGGAACTCACGCCCAAAAAAAAAATTCAAGCAAGATAAGATAGGCACAAAAAATGTTTAAAAAATTCTGTGTCAAAAAATTTTAACATTTATATTTTGACTCTTGACATTTTTTATGTCTATTTAATAATACTCGTGATTTTTATAATTACTTAGTAAAGGTACAAAAAATTTGCCAATAAAAGCCACAAATAACATTAAACAGAGTTACAATTTAGTATACAGCTTCCTTGTTTCCTTTTCTAATAGCCTGTAGCGAAAAAACTTGGAAAATTATTTTTACAACAGAAATAAATAAAGTCAAAGTGCAAAATTTAAACTCTCATAACTTCCAAATTTGTATAGATACAATTTTTTCAACATTTTTTCCGTCTTCCTGTTATTGTACTTTACATTTTTCTATGGGGCGCAATTTCTGGCGCATCTTGTATAGCCATATTTAGACATATGACAGAGATTTTTCATTAAAAAAAGTTACTATACAGTGTGTTCCGTTTTTAAAATTTTTTTTACATTTTTTTCCATGTTCCTGGTATCTTACCTTTTTTCTCTGAAGCGCGAGTTCTTGCGCACTCTGAATTAGAGAACTACATTCTCTGAAAGAGGTGCGTTTTTTTCACTATTTTAGAATAGATAAAATTACAAAAGTTGGTACAGCTGATAACTTATAAACACCTGAACGAATTTAAAGATCAAATTTCGAAATTTTTAATCATTTGCGTCTTAAACTGAAGGAGTATAGGGTAAAACGAATTTAATTTTAAGTTTATTTTCTGTGCAGGATCTGTAACATAAATTTTAAAATGATTTTACTCAAAAAGAGTAAGTGGCATCGAAAAAAACGCAAGAGACCTCTTTTTTTGAATGGAATTTAAAATTTTGTTAGTGAAAGTAGCAAAAAAGTTTAGCCAAAATAGTTGGGGTACTTTTTACCCTAAACCCTTCCAGTTGAGGACGCCCCTAATTAAAATTTTGTAATTTTATTTAAAGTGGTTTCTGAAATATTGAACAAAATCCAGATGCACCCCTTTCATCGAATGTAAAATTTTTCGATAGAAAACTTTTATCTTAAAACTGAATATTTTATCACCTTATCTTTGTAACAATAAAAACGAAACACCCTGCATAATTTGAAAACTATTAAACATTGGTAAAGCAGAATTATATTCTCTTCCATTTAGTGAAGAAAAAATTGGGGTGTTACATTTAGAAAGATTAAGTTTGGGTTATTTGCATTTTCTCAAACGTAACGTTAAATTTTGGGGGTTTGTTTATCTTTTTTTTCAGTTAAAAATCTACCAAGAAAAAGTTAAAAATTATAAAGTTATCGATTTTTAAAGAGGATGGTTCAGATCCAACAATTTTTAAAAAGTCTAAAAATCTCAAAAACGGCTAAACCTAAATATAGTGAAGGTCAATTATAACACTGATAGAATAATTTGAGGTATTTAAAAACGCAATAAAAAAGATAGCTTTCTATTTAAAATAACAAAGTTGATAACCCGCTTTTGGTATAACCGGAAGTGCCGCCATAGTGAAAATAATGTCATTAAACAGGATCTAACCAATTATGCTTACATTCAAATTAAAAAAAAAATAAATATCATTGTTAGAACTTCTAATACTTCTAACGCAGGGTATAGTAGCAACACATGTACCTACACCAGGCTTCCAAATAAATTTCTAGTCAATGTTGTCTGTGACTTCAAATAAAAAAGTGACAAAAGATACGAAAATTGTTAAGTACCACATCGTCTGTCTCTACATCACAAGCCATCTTGATCACTTTGAAAGTATGGTACAAGTTAGATAACACTTTTAGTAGCAGAAAATCAAAAAATAATGAAAAATCATTGTTTCTACAATTTTAAAGTTTGTCTTTTTAAAGGTTTTAGCTATGGACTAGTTTATTTTTTATTATTTTATCAGACCTTGCAAGTCGTTTTCAAGCTAATTTTGCATTTTTCAGACTGTACCGGTTTCACACTCCGTCCAGTAGCCGGCCTTCTCTCATCTCGCGACTTTTTGGCCGGTTTGGCCTTCAGAGTGTTCCATTCAACTCAATACATCCGACACCCAAGCAAACCTTTCTACACCCCGGAACCGGACGTTTGCCACGAACTTTTAGGCCACGCTCCTTTATTCGCGGACCCTTCATTCGCACAGTTCTCGCAACAAATCGGTTTAGCTTCGCTTGGTGCTCCAGATGACTACATTGAAAAGCTTGCAACTGTAATAATTTCAATCTTTTCGCAAGAATTCATTTATTTTTTATTTTTTAATTGTAGTGTTTTTGGTTCACTGTGGAGTACGGATTGTGCCGCGAAGGCAACGAGTTGAAGGCCTACGGGGCTGGATTGTTATCCTCTTACGGGGAGCTTCAATACGCTTTGGAAAATAAGGCTGAAGTAAGGCCTTTTGAGCCTGAGAAAACAGCTGTTCAGGAATATCCCATCACGCAGTATCAACCGGTTTATTTCGTGGCTGAGAGTTTTGAAGATGCTAAAGAAAAAATGATGTAAGTTTTTTGTTCTTGACACAGTGGTAAATTTTATTGAAAAAATCTTTTTTCAGAAAATATGCAGCCACGATACCGAGAGCTTTCGGTGTCAGATACAATCCTTATACCCAAAGTATTGAAGTTTTGGATTCTAAACCACAAATCGAAAGCTTGGTCACTAATATAAGTACCGAAATTTCAATTCTTGTAGACAGTTTGAAAAAACTGTAAGTTTTTGGTAAAAATAAGTATTATCATAAGGCATAATAATTTTTTATTCTTATGTTTAATTGTGTCTAAATTATTTTTTTTAATAAAAACTTTACAAACCAGAATTTTTTATTTGCAATTTTTGAAATAAAAATGACAAAACCTAAATAAATACAGGTGCGCTAAATAACTCTCGCCCCAGAGAAAAATGCCATTAAGGTAAGATAGCAGGAACATGGAAAAAATGTTAAAAAAATTCTATCCATAAAGATTCCAAAGTTATGAAAGTTTAAATTTTGCACTTTGACTATTTATTTTTGTTGGAAAAATAATTTTCCAAGTTTTTTTGCTACAGGCTATTAGAAGAGAAAACAAGGAAGCTGTATCCTAAATTGTAACTCTGTTTAATGTTATTTGTAGCTTTTATTGACAAAATTTTTGTACCTTCACTAAATAATTATAAAAAAACATACACTGTGTCAATTTTAAAACTGGCAATCGGCAATTTCTCTCAACTGAAAAAGTTATTAATAATCACTCAAAACCATTTTGGTGGTTCCTAGGGAAAATTAAAATGACATGATAAGTGACACACCTCCACCCACCCTTGAATATAATAAAAAAAATAAAATTTAATGTCTTCGTTTTTGAATAATTGTATGACATTTTTGAAAAGCGCTTGTTATGGGCTTTCCAACGATGTAGGGTCGTGCCATTTAAAATTTTCTACTTAAGGTGGCTGTGGTTGAAGGGTGGGTGGAGGAGCGTCACTTACCATGCCATTTTGATTCCCCCCAAAAACCACTGAAACGGTTTTGAGTGATTCTCAATAACTTTTTTAGTTCTAGAGATATTGCCGATTGCAAGTTTTAAAATTGACACTCTGTATACAAGATCATCAGTATCATTACAAATTACAAAGACAAATAACAACATTTATATAACAATAAATATTTTTTTTTCCATGTTCCTGATATTTTATCTTACTTGAATTTTTTCTCTAGGACGCAAGTCCTAACACACCCTTTATTTAAAAAATCGAGTGATCTAAAAAACTGATTTTTTTTGTCCTTATACGTTTTTTGGATGTTCGAATAGGAAATCTCCGAAACTAAGTTTAGCCAAAAACAAGTGATACATTCTGGGGCTCAATATTTGTGAAAATAATTAATATTGGTTAAAACCGCACCTTGCTATCCGTCTTTTGTTTTTGACTTATAGACAAAAGTTGATATTTTATAGAAATCTACAAAAATTCATATCTTTGTTATTATAGAAAAATATTAAGTATTCCTCTTTTAGTTCGTTTATTTTCAGAAATTGTGTTGATTTAACGTTAGTAACTCAGAACATTTTAAGAAAGATTTACTCCATTATAAAACAATTTTAAATAAGTTATTGATGAACGAATTTTACAATTATTTCCCAACACAATTTCTAAAAATAAACGAAGGAAAAGAGGAATACTTAATATTTTTGGAAGTGCGATGAAAGCAATAACAATCAATTTAGTTAATGAAGACGGCAAAAGATATAAAGAGATGATTTCCAAATTACATTCAAGAGAAAATAAACAAAAATTATTATTTAATGAACAAATTTCTTTAACAACTACTGCAATTGAAAGATTTCACACAATTTCCAAATTAACGAACAATCAATTGATTTTTGCTAAAAGAATTGCTGACATAGAAAAAATAGTAAACAAAAAAGCCACCACCGGATTTGACCTTTATCCTCTCATACACTTACACAGTAGTTTTATTCAAATTAAAGCTTATCAAAAAGATAGAAAACTGATGTCTATTTTCAGGGTTCTTCTAACTGAATCCCAAAATTATCATTATTATCAATTTCCAATCTGCTCTACTCCAAAATCTTGCCAAGTTATAATTCTGTTACACAAATTCCTTTTCCTTAACGAGTATTATTTCACCTTAACCAACGAAAAATGTAATGAAGTAAACCCAAGCGATTATATTTGCAATCTACCACAAACAACAAGATTATCCCATGATGCACCATGCGAAGTTCAACTTCTGAAATTTACCCAACATTTTCAAGATTGTCAAGTCCTTAAAATTCAAGTAAACGACATACAAATTCAGAAAATCGATAAAAATTAATAGATTGTAATCAAGATGAAGAAACCCAGTCAATCAAAGGAGGTTATACAGTGCGATCAAAAAGTCTTTCGATCAAGTAGGCATCCTAGTTAAGGACGTATGTTGCATGGTAGTTCGTATGTTATCTAGATGTCAAAAAATTATTTTATAAAAATTAAAACATTGAGCTAATAAATTGAATTATTCTATGAAACGTCTCAAAACAAACTAAAATAAGATTTTGTTGGTGTTTATTCATAAAAATCGTTCACCACGCTTTCCTGTCATAATTTACATAATAAATATTTTGACATTTATCTTCCACAGACGTTTTAAATTTCTACGCTTGCTTGATAAACAGACTTTTTAATCGCACTGTATAATCGTCGTTCCCGATGGATGTAAACTCCGAATCAATTCGACAACCCTTCAAGCTTATCAAGGCCCAGATTACTAGAAGATATCCATTCAACTTTCAAAAATTAAAAAAATTTAAACCTCAAAATAATTTCCCAAAAAAGAAGATTTTCATATAGAACCTCTCCAACTCGAAAAAATCGATTTGAGTAACTTTCAACCCGTTTATCATTAATTGCAACAAATTCAACAGACCCTCCGAAAAGAAGACAATGAAACAATTTCGTATAATACAAGTGTTTGGATAATTTTAATTTAATTTACTTTTATCTACTTTGGACGAAGTGTCTTTCTTCATCCCAAAATTATGATGAGAAAAATCAAGCAACAAGTCAGCCCACGCCGACAGCCATTCCAATTGAAAATTGAAACTCCAAAATCATTTATAAATACGGCATAGTTTAGAGTCGCCAATCACAGTCAACGCGACACCCATTTTATTTTCATTCCTAAATAGAAGAGTGTCCCATCTGGTGGTTAATCTGTAGTAAAACAAAAAACAATTTTTTTAACAATAATAAAAAATACACAAGATATAAAATATACAGGCTTTGGCAGAACTCGCGCCCCAAAGATAAGATATATTTTTTGACCGTTGACATTGTTTTGTGTCTACTTAATGATACTGATGGTTTTGAATTTTTTTTAACATTTTTTCCATGTTCGTGCTATCTTACCTTACATTTTACTTTGGGGCGCGAGTTCTGGCTCACCCTGTATAAATAATAAAAAATATGATTTATAAATGTCTTCTTTAAAATTCTTGAAGTTAATGTTATCTAATTTTATCTGCCATTTTTATAAAATCTGGTGATTTCTGGTGACCTTCTTTTTATTGGGTCTATTATTACTATTTTCAGGATCACGTCTGGCAACGCTGGTTTCAAGACGCAAAGTAGTCATACGAGTGGTAAACTCATTCAATGTCACTGAAATAAGTTACAAAAATGTAGTCAAAAACGTCTCAGTGGTAACCGACGCTAAAGTAAATAAAGTTGTTATTGTCCTTAGAAAAAAAAATAAAACGCTAATAGTACACTAAAATGAGTAATTTTACTCATTTTACAATACATTTTTATAGGAAACTTTTATCTTACAACAAGATACTCTATCACCTGTTTAAATTTGTAACAATAAAAACAAAACACTCTGTATATTTAAATGATGCCAACCGAAAATAAAAATTTAAATTAAATATTTAAATTTTATTAAACATTTATATTTTATTTTTTAATATCAAAAAAACTGTTAGGTACATAAATAAATATATGTGTATATTACAACATTATACAATTTATACGAAGAAGTATCAACTTAGTATGTATATCACATTTAGAAACACTATTACCTAGACGAGTTATTTATAATTATTTACATAAATTTGTTAAAAAATAAAACCTTTCATTCCATTTAGTCGTATCTACACATTGGAGCAATGCAAAAATGTTTTTTTATCCGAAAGAAACAACAATTATGTGATTCAAACATACACACATCAAGTAGATACACTACGATTGAAAACACTCTCGCCAAATAGATGACAAAAACAATTTCCAAAATAGTAGACGACTTAATTATATTAAAAAAAAAGTTACTAATGTATAATCTGTTCCAAATTGCTGCAGAAAGTCAAGGTTAAAGTTTTGACATTTAAATAATTATCATTGAGGTTATAAACAAATATGACAATTGTGTACGATTCAAATACAGAGTTAGAGCTTATTCCACATCTGGTGGCGAACTGAAAGTGTCAAAAAAGACACTTGGAGTGCGCCCATTTGGTTAAGATAAAAAATACCTGGGCGTACTTTTTTTCTCTAAAAATTTTGAAGACAAGGATTGTTAGGAATATCATTTTTGAAAATTCTTTTCATGCGTTAACAATTTAAAAATTTGTTCATCATTCTTCATTTTATGTACGAGTACCTACTTATTATAATTTTTTAAAGAATAACAGTGGTTTTAAAATATTATTTCATACGACGCCTATGAACAATATTTTTTTTAATAGTAAACATATGTTTAGTGTCAAAATTCAGTCATTTTTGACAACGTCAGTTCGCCACCAGATTTGGAACAAGCTATATCCATTTTGTTGTTTCCTTAATTTTGTTAAAAATCACTGCATTTAATACACCTCCATTATTGTGCGTTGATCAATTTATTATCACCACTGAAAATTAATAACTGACAATTTTAAGACACGATAACACAGAGGTAGGGTTACGGTAACAAATTGAGCGAATTGTTCGTTTTCGTCTTTGGTTTTTTCGCACTAAAACTTATTTAGTTTGTCCATTAGAGTCTGATGGCGTATACAACATATTTGGTTGATGTTGAGGTATTGGTAGAGATATGCTTACAGGTACTATGAGAGACGGTGAGCCTACAGCACTCGATTGAATGCCTGGAATTGTTGTGGTGGTACTACTGACTGTTCCCGAATTCGAGCCTTGATATGTTATAGACACTTGAGGAGAATACTGCAACACATTTTTTTCATCATTTCCAAACCAACAATAATAATAGTATATTAAAGTACAGTCGAACAAAATGAAAATGACGCCTCAATAAACCAGCCCCTGCTGGATGCCGACCCTTCTAACCGCAAGCAGACAGGGTCGTAAATTATCGGATTGCAGTTTCAACATAAATTCCTCTTGGAGCTGGTTTACAGAAAGCCAAATTAAAGTTTAATTCAGAATTAAACTAATTCGAATTAATTTGCCATTTACTTTGAAATGACAAACGTCAAATTAATTAAGTGAAAATATTTAATTTTTTTAATGAAAAATTTAACAAACCATTTCTTAAAGAAAATCATGCATTAATAATGACATTGACGAAAAAACAAATCATTATTAACTTAATATTTTTTTAACTGTTTTCTCAAAATAAAATTAATTAACATAATTTTTGAACTAGATTTTATGTAAAACAACAAATGAATTAAACTATTGTTTATTTGCGAGAAGAAAAATTTATTCCACGTGTGAAGGGAAATTAAAATTTAATTCAGAATTAGGTAAACTAATTCGAATTAAGTTGCCATTTATTTTGCATTGACAAACGTCAAGTTTAAAATTTAATTGCGATTAATACGTTCTGTAAACCGGCCCTAAGTTTTCTATTAGTTTCGCAATTGTCATTGAAAACGAATCAAAATTATTTATTTAATTAAACCATGAAAAAAAACGGCAAAATTATTTCAAATATTTCAGTTCTGCTTTTATTTTTTGGTAATTGTAATACTTTTAAATTAAATAAAAACGTTAAGTTTTATAAAAACACAATTTAACAAGAACCAGTTCTTAAAGAAAATTATGCTTTAATAATAAAATTAAATTAAGTAACATAATTTTTGTACGAAATAGGCTTTCTCTATTTTAAACTTGATTTTATGTAAAATAAATCATTTATAAAATAATTTTATTTTGAAACAGTTAAAAAAATATGCAAAATAAATGGCGACTTAATTCGAATTAGTTTAATAATTGTGAACTAAATTTTTATTTCGCTTTCTGTAAACCGGCTCCTAAAGGAATTTATCTTAAAACTACGTCAAGTTTGCAATCCGATAATTTACGATCTTGCGTGCTTATCGTTAGAAGGGTTGGCATCCACAGCAGGGGCTGTTTTATTGAAGCGTCATTTTCACTTTGTTCGACTGTACAAGTTGCAGATCTATTCAAGCACAAATTTGAACTTCCTAAACGAGCTCCGTAGCGGCGATTTGAGGAACAAATGAGTGCTTGAAGAACCTTCTGCAACAAGTGCTTTATACTATTTTTTTCTATTTTGCCGCTTTATATCATTTTGTAAATTAAAAAACCAAAATTTTCCTTTTTTTTCTAGAGAATTTTGCGACGGTTGGCAACAATTATGTGGAATTATTTTAAGCGGGTGTAAAAAATAAAAATAATTCTTATTGAAATGAAAAATGAAAATTGAATTGAAATGAAAATGAATTGTGAAGAAATCACTAAAATTAAATTAACGCCAACAACTTATTCCAGCACTCAAATGACGTCATTTGGGTGCTGGAATAGACTTATTCTACCACCGAAATAGAAAAAATTTATTATTACATTTTGCGCCGGTTGATTGTGAGGTAGAAGCCCCAACCTGGCCATCAAAAGCTGCTCGGAGACTCTCCTCAATTCTGCCTGTTGTTGGCCGATGATTGCTTGGAGTTCGGCATGTTTTCTCTGGAGGTCGATTTGGATTTGGGTCTGGGCCGGTGTCAGCATCACGTTGTCGAGAGGTTGGATCGGGGAAATCACTCCAGTGGGGGAAAATCCAGAAATGACTGGTTGCATAGGAATAGCAGCTACATACTGGGGTGGTTCCAGAAACTGGTGGTTGAGGGACTGGGAGTGGGGGGGTTGGATTTGGTTTTGGGGTTGGAGAGGCTGAGGTTGAGGTTGGGGTTGGAGCATTTGAGGGGGAGGCTTAGGTTGATTGGACTCTGATTTCTGCAAAAAGTTGATATTTTGTGTAATGTTTGTTGTTTACTATTTTCGCTTACTCATACAAGGTATGGCAATAAATTTGATACAGGTGTGTGGATATGTGTACATCTAAAATAATAAATTATTATGCATCTCAATTTTAATTATTATTGATGTAATAATTGCACAAGAATAACAGCGGGAGGTGTATAAATACCGGCATTGATTACATCCAGAAAATAAAAATGACTTTAATGTCTTACATTCACAATACCAACCTTGTAAGCCTGTACAAAGCAGGTTTCAATTTATAGTCTATTTATCAAATCCGTTATTTGACTTTCTCTCAGTGAATTACCAATTCTGCAAGGTCTTCAAACTGACTATTTTTCCTTAATATTTTATTTCATAAAAGGAAGAACAGGAGGTGGAAAAACTAAACTAAATAATTAAAATAATCTGTCGTCCATATACAGGGTGAATAAAAAGTATAGAACCAAGCGTTTTTTTTTTAATCATTTGCCTTCAGAAAATAATAAGAACGAAATTTTATTTCGTTTTGATTTGTGCAATTTTTTTTTGTCAAAATTGCAATTTATGAAACTTATGCTTTTTGAAAAATTAAATACGGTCTTGAGTTGAAATTTAAATGAGAAAATATTCACGGTAGAAGAAAACTAATACACTACATAAAACTAAAATTCATGTTGTAAAAGGAAATAATTAATTTTATATTATTTGTTTGAGAATTGCAACAATGGTCATCACTCAACAGTATCATTACCTTGTGTTTCACCGTAAATCACGAGAACCAATTTATTATGTAATATTTGCGATCCATAAATTTGGAAAAAAATTAAGAAAAACGAATCAAACATATTGGAAACCATTTCGCTGGAAGAGATTAAACTGAAGATCTTCGAATTTTGATAAAAACTAAAGCAAAAGCAAAACAAATAATCACAGTGTCAAACTGTGACTTTCCTCTTTCATTGTCATGAATACGATTTTTTTTATTTGTTACAACTATACAATTTTATCTGAACAGGGAAATAGTTCCAGTGATCCTCACATCGTGTACCAATATTTTGGAGTTAATTAAGATTCTTAATAATAACAATTGTGTGAGTTTTTTTTCTCGATTACAATATTTCTGTCCTCTTCTATTACTAGGTCAATTTTCAACTCCAAGACCGTAAACACGCTGTATAAAGTAGATAGTAGTAATCTTTAGATCATAACCATTTAAAAAAATGAAAAAGAAGTTGTAGAACTCAAAAACAAAAGAAAATTTCGAAAAATTTTATTCCTGATAAAACATCACATCATCCGAGTTTTAAACATTTTACGTGCTCCTTGAACCCTACCCTCATGGAAGTACGAAAAACGTACATGGGTTCGATTTCTAAATTTTTCATATTGTCGATTTTTTTCGAAAAAAAATCATTCATCAAAGAGCATGCAGTCACTATTAGGTACATCGTGTTCAAGTGCAATTTTACATCTTGAAAATCATATTTTGAAATTTTTTGCGAATAAATTTTTCATTTTTGAAATTTTGAAATTTTCAAACAAATTGTGAAAAATAAAAAATTACACAAAAAATTGTTTTCCCCTTAAAGTGTTGCAAAGAGCGATATTTAGTTCGATTTTAAAATATCCAATTTGTCCGATTTTTCAAAATTAGAAAAAATGCTCAAAACTGGTGAAAAGTGACGTAACAAACAGACAAAACAATGTAAAATTTTGAATTTTTTTGCCTTGTATACAAAAATTCTCTCAAAATAAGTAAAATCTGTATGTTTTTGCCAACTTAATTTCAAAGTCAAACCTCCTCTGATTAGAAATTTAATTGAATACTTAGTGTACATTGTGTAAACAATTCATTCAATTATCATTTAACAGTTAAAATCTAATTTTTTTGCTAAAAATTAATAAATTTTAAATAAAGTTTTTTCTAAAAAAAGCGATAATTTATGAAAGCAGATCTAAATTGATTAATAAATTGGTTAATAAATACAGGTGTCTGAACTCGCGCCCCAGAAAAAAATTTCAAGTAAGATAAGATACCAGGAACATGAAAAATATATTTAAAAAGTTCTATCTGTCAGAAAATTTTGACATTTATATTTTGACATTTGACATTTATTTATATCTATTTAAGAAAAACCTAGTGATGATTTTGTATACACTGTGTCAATTTTAAAACTTGCAATCGGCAATTTCTCTCAACTGAAAACGTTATTAATAATCACTCAAAACCGTTTTGGTGGTTCCTAGGGGGAATTAAAATGACATGATAAGTGACACACCTCCTCCTACCCTTGAATATAGTAAAAAAAATTAAAATTTAACGTCTTCGTTTTTGAATAATTGTAAAAATGACTTTACCAAATAGGCTGTTGTATGACATTTTTGAAAAGCGCTCGTTATGGGCTTTCCAACGATGTATCGCAAGTAGGGGCGTGTCATTTAAAATTTTCAACTTAAGGTGGCGTGGTTTGAAGGGTGGGTGGAGGAGCTGACTTACCATGCCATTTTGATTCCCCCTAAAAACTACCGAAACGGTTTTGAGTGATTCTCAATAACTTTTTTAGTTCTAGAGATATTGGCGATTGCAAGTTTTAAAATTGACACTCTGTATGTCTTTTTTATAATTATTTCGTAAAGATACAAAAATTTTGCCAACAAAAGCCACAAATAACATTAAACAGAATTACAATTTAGGATACAGCTTCCTTGTTTTCTCTTCTAATAGCCTGAAAATTATTTTTCCAACAAAAAGAAATAGAGTGAAAGTGCAAAATTTAAACTTCCATAACTTTTAAAATTTTTATAGATAGAATTTTTTTAACATTTTTTCCATGTTCTTAGCTCTTTGGCGCGAGATCTGGCGCATCCTGTAGATCGCCATGTTTTGAAGAAGAGCTATCAAACGCAAGATAGATACCGAAACATTTTCAGAATTTTAAGTTGACAATTAAATTTGAAAAATATATATAAATTGGCTTTGATCAAAATACCAGCTAATAACCAGCTGAATAATCAAATGCTCGTAATTCTGTTACCAATTTAAACAGTCATTATTGATCATTCTTTACATTTCTATCATGCGGTCAATAAATCATAGTGGCCAAAGATTTTAAAATTAAGTAAACAATAATATTGAATTATCTAAAGTGATTGTAAATAATAATGGTGATTTTTGTCCTTAAGTAGATCACAAATTTATCAGTTGATACTGATGATTCTTAATTTGGCAACATTGACTAACAAATGCAAACCTGAAACAACCCGACAGGCTAAAAATTCAATGTTGGCAATAGATATTTTGTGTCACAATTATCTCCATAATAATCAATGTTGCCACTTTAATTTCAAAGGCTGCCCACTTTGATTATAAATGTGGTTGAATGTAGGCAGAAGTCGTAATATTTATTATAATTTAGAATTAGAACAACAAATTTAGGTTTTTGCCCAGTCACCTACCACCGAAAACTGCGTCATGACCGACTGCCTCGACGTTGGTGAGTCCGCCGACATGGAGGTGCACTCCGAAGCCGTCCCTTGTCGTATATTACTCTTGGTGTTTTTCGGCCACGTCGTCCCTCCATTCCCCGGGGAAGTCCCCGATGTTGTAACCCCTTCCTCTTTCCGACTTTGTTTCATAACATCAACATAACTGCAAACCTTCATTAGTTCATCACCTGCAATTTCTGACCTTTCCTACCTTACGACACGATGAGTACAAACAATAAACTCCGGTTTGGAATTCCACTGATGATAAGTTATGTAATATCTGGTCTGCAACCAAATCCATTGTTGGCCTTTTGTAAGAAATCTATAAAAACAAGAAGTACCCTCGCCTTTTTGCATGAGGGCTTTGTGACCGATTATTATATTGTCCAAATCGTCGACGTGGTAGTAATCGTAACCGGAAGTGCCTAAAAGCTCGAAAGGGAGGTAACCGATTATGGGGGGCGCGCGGTGGTCGAGAAAGAGGAATTTCCACTCCAGGCTATGACGGGAAGTAAATTCGCTTTTGCTGGAGTCGACCAAGGGCATTTCACGGATCAGGCGAGGGGTCTTGATCTTGCCAGTGCCCACAAACACCAGTCTAAAAAAAAATATTTCCAAAAGGTAAAAAATTGAGAAAAAAATTACCTGGTGTCGGCCTCCCCAGAGTAGCCGCTATATCTGTTTTCGCTCTGGACCATATCTTCATCAGATCCTGCAAAAATTGCAAAATTCAGTATGTATTTGTAGCAAAAACGTCAGTTGTTAATTTAAATGTCTGATCAAAGTGATAAAATTGAAATTAAGTTGGCAACATGGACAAATCTAGACAAGATGTAAGTTACATATCTTCCAATTTTTTTTTATTCAGAATTGCAAACTTAATTTGAGAATTATAGACTACTTTGATAATAAATTTATGACAAAAAAACGAATACATTAATATGTACCTAAACAAACATTTAAAACAAAAAAAAGCAATTTTGTATTTTTTTTTTACTTGTTATAAAAGATTTTCTGTTATGTTTTATCATTATTTTAGTAACAGTAATAAGGGACAATTTACAGAAAGCTAATTAAAATTTAATCTATAGGATTAAACTAATTCGAATTAAGTTGTCGTTTACTTTCCATTGACAAACGTTAAATTAATCACGAATTAAAATTTGATTGAAATTGAATGTTTTGTAAACCGACCAATAATTTTTTTTAAAGGGATGACCAAAGCATGCACAAGATACCAGCTGACTACATATTTTGTTAATACAGGATGCGCCAAAACTCGCGCCCCAGAGAAAAATGCCATATAAGGTAAGATGCAAGGAACACGGAAAAAATGTAAAAAAAAATTTTTCTATAAAAATTTCGAAGTTATGAGAGTTTAAAATTTGCACCTTGACTATTTATTTCTGTTGGAAAAATAATTTTACAAGTTTTTTTTTGCTACAGAGGAAACAAAGAAGCTGTATGCTAAAGTGCAACTCTGTTCAATGTTATTTGTGGCTTTTATTGGCAAATTTTTTTCTACTTTTATTCAATAATTGTAAAAAAACATATACAAGATTATCAGTATCATTAAATAGACATAAAAAAATGCCAACTACTCGGAAAACATTTACAACCATTATTTTAAAACTTAAATATGATTGTATTCAACTTTTTTTATTTTCTTTAATACACCAAATTGTATTATTTTTCCTCTATTTTTTTATTGTATTTCTCAAATCAGTTAATGGTTTCGATAAAAGCTCAAAAAGTCTTTTAATATTTTTAAATTTTTTAGGTATTTTTTTATATTTTTGGTGGCAAACAAAAAAAATATTTCATGCTTTAATTTACAGAACCAGTTTTTCTTAACCTAAATGTTTCTTGGAAAAATGTGACAAAGTATAATAATAGTTATTTATGGATCAAGGTACTAAAGTCTTATTTTATTACGAATGTGTATTTAGTTGACGAGGCGATAACCGAGGCAAATAAAACACATGAGTAATGAACAATGATTTTAGTACCGAGGTGCATATTAATTTTTTTTTGAAATTGCAAATTTGAACAAAATTTGTGCAAAACTATTTTTGGAGGTTGAGACATTTGAACAATGACAGTTCACAATTGACACTTTACTCCAGTGGGACCAGTGGCAGATTTCTAATTTCAATTCTACCATCTCTTGTATATTGTGTTTTATTAAGATCAAAAGTGTTTTAAAGCTAGGATTAAAAAAAAATTAAGTCTAGGATGAAAAGTGAAAATTGCCATGGTAACAATTTTTTCCTAGTTGTAAAAATATCAATTTTATCTTTCAAAAATGTTCTAATGTTGATTTGTTACAAATAACAGAGTTTTTTAAAACATTAAAAAACAAACCGCTCAAACCTTGCACCAATAAATTTGACAGAAATGAAAAACAACGTTAAAGATAAGTCCTTCTGTACACAGTACTGTGGGCGGCTTTGGCAAAGATTTTTTAAAAGTTTTATTGATTTTCTGATGGCGAAGAATAATATGTCAATGTAAACTAAGGATAAATAATGCATATTTGCAATTTCCGTATTGAACAACCTTGCTTGTTGCTTCTTGTCCAGTCGAGTCACGCTCACGTGCATTACATAATTTATATTCACGTGAAAAGCAAGATAAAATGACATAATTTGAATCAACTTACTAAAATATCCTACAAAGTGCACGAGTTCAAAGGAGGGATTCTGTTTTGAGTCAGGATCTCCACGTCGCAAATGACACGAGAAGGAAATTTGACCCTGGTCTTCGGACGGAGTGAGTAAAATATTGTAAAGGTGACTGTGTTCTTCTTCGTTTGCCATTTCGTATATTGTCATGTTGAGAACTTGATTCTGGAAAAAAATTGTAGTATTTTGAAAAAGTTTAGAGGAGAGAAAGTACCGGTAAATGTCCCAAAAGCGAGGTAATACTTTCCGACGCGTAAAAAATTTGACCGGAAGCTGAAAACACCATAATAAAACCATCTACAGCCTCCAGGACTAAATGAGTGAATTCTTCGTTTGTGAGAAACGTCGGTTTCCAGTCTTCTTGGATTTCGTTAACACGAGATCGTACGGCTATTTCTAATAAAACATTTTAAATGAAATTAAATGAAAAAATAATAATTTAATAAATTACCGTTATGATTTTTTAAGAATGCTATAGTTGATTTTAGCACAGTAGACTTGTCCATTTTTCGACTTCCTGTTGCTACCATTGAACTTAATTCATTTACTAGCAAATTAAATTGGTCTCGCCTTTTTTTCTCACTCAAATTTCGAGATTTCCTAATTAACGCCATTTTAGTAATTATTTTTCAAATTGGGGAATTATTTTACCGTTTTGAGTCCTTATCGTCGGAATCATCGTCCATCGTATCCCTAAAACAATATTGAGTGTAAATAAATATTTACAAAAAAAAGTAACACAGAAAACAATTTTTTTAATAAAACTTGTCAATTTTCACGAAAATAGAAGTAATGATGACTTTTTTCTGTCCTTTTTTTCACAGACAATATAAGAAAAGAAAGTGTATAATGATCGTGAAAATACCTGAATCATTTAATAATTTTTACTGTTATGCGTATGAGTAAAAGAAAGTGATCTGTTTGATGTAATTGATAAATAATGCGCAATTACGTAATTTCTGATTTAATAATAATTGAAGTAACCGCACCTCGATTATTCTAAATATGTTATTTAAAAGTGTTACTACCGTTACGATCTATGCCGTAACCCTGAAATATCTAACATTTCATGAGAAAAATGTGACACTACCTCCACTGTCATTGACATCGCTACAACTTTCTATGAGGTTCCGTTATTGCTTTGAAAATTATGTATTATGGAATGAAATGTTGGAAAAATAAATTCATTTAAATTTCAATCAGATGAAGCAATTTCATATTGATTTCCTTTACTAATAAATAAACTACTCCTAAAATACAGGTGTGCCAGAACTCGCGCCCCAGAGAAAAATTTCAAGTAAGATAAGATACCAGGAACATGGAAAAAAAGTTTAAAAAAATTCTATCTGTCAAAAAATTTTGACATTTACTTTTTGACATTTGAAATTTTTTTATGTCTATTTAATAATACTGATGATCTTGTATATGTTTTTTTTTTAATTATTTAGTAAAGGTACGTAAATTTTGCCAATAAAAGCCACAAATAACATTGAACATATATACAATTTAGGATACAGCTTCCTTGTTTCCTCTTCTAATAGTCTGTAGCAAAAAAAACTTGAAAAATTATTTTTCCAACAGAAATAAATAGAGTCAAATTGCAAAATTTAAACTCTCATACATTGAAATTGTTATACAGGCGTTCGTTTTTCGAGCTCCCTCATGGTAATTTCAGTTATTATAAGAGATACAAGGTTGGTTAAATTAGGGCAAAGTTGTGCATTTTTATGTTGAACAAAAATTTAAAAAAAAGTTAATGTATCATTTTTAGATTTTGAATTATTTGAAAAAAAACGGAAATTTGGAATTTTCGTTTTTATTTTTTCATCCGAAAACTAAAAGACTAATAGACGTTTTTAACTAGAACGTTCTTAAGACACTTTTTTACAAGAAATCTAAATCTGTCATCGTATTTTCCAAGGCGCTCTTGATATCAGTGTTACAACACTCAACTTCGGATTTTCTTATGGACGCCATATTTTATTTCTGTAGTTTTGAAAAGTCTTTTTGTTTCTGATTACAACAATGTATTACACGATATGATCAAATTTTACAAGCTAATGAAAAATTAAAAAAAGTGTTTTTTCGAAGATTTTAATTAACAAACTAAATTTTAAAACAGTGTATTGAACAAAAAAAAAATAGAGTGGGCGGTAATTAAAGTCCTTCAGATGGCAATCCTGATTTTTGACATCAAATGACAGCGGAAACTTTGACAAGTGTGCGTTTTATTCATTTTGAGTGAAATAATGTTCACTTTAGAGCAGAAAATTTTTATTGTTGCAAGTTATTACAAAAATGCTGTACAATACAAAAACGGTGAATGATCATTTTCACTTTCAGTTTGTGTGGAAAATTTCCAGCCTAGATTCAAAGCCAACGTGTTGCCAACTGTAGAATATTAATCCTCGCCTACTATAATTTATTTTTTGATCGCACGGTATCTCGTGCTACAGCTCTCGCCATTTCTGTCACTTTTCACAATGTTTTTTCTGTATGAAATAGTGGAACATTCTGACTCAAAATTTGTTAGTAGGGTTCACTTGTAACACAGATACTTACTTTTTTTACATAGAAATCAAATGTTTTTGATCTACTTCACCTCAAATCACGAGGTATAGAATAGCTCCACTAATTCAAAAACGTAATAAAAAGCATAATAGGCTTTCCATTATAAGTGCGGCAGGTATATTTTTTCAGCGTAAAGGTTTAATATAATAATAATAATAAAGGTCTATATTTCGTAAGTAATATGTACACTTGCGGAATGAAAATTTCGGGCAGTACTTTTCTGTCACTTTAAAAAGTTCACAGTAAACCCTTTACTGTCATCATGACTGACATTTGACAATTAAAGGTTATTTTAGAGTTTACATTATGAAAATGGCAATACTGCCCGAAATTTTAAGTCCGTAACTGTACAGGCGAAATCTAGCCAATAGACTATTCAACTTAACCTAAGTACACATAAAACTAAATTAAAATTCATACAAGAAGAAGAAGTAAAGACAGTGAAAGAATGAAAGAGAGAGTACTGTTGGAGACAAAATACTTTGGTCGTCACTTTTCTGACACTTTAATGTAATTCAAGCTTTAACGTTAAAATGAATGACAATTTCAAATTAATGACAGCTGTTGTATTTTTCTATCAAAAATATGTACATATAACTTGTCAACTATGATTGACAGTGGCTAAGAATAAGGTTAACAGTCCTAAAACATGCTTTACAATTTAATGTCACTCAAGTGACATTGACGACCAAAGTAATTTGTCTCCAGCTGTACGTTATCGAAAAATAATAAAGGTGTTTTAACACTAATAATTTTTTTGTACAGCGGAGTAGAAATTTTTTACAAAATTTGCTCACCAAAAACGACTTAACTTCTTTTGGCAGCTTATTATAAAGAGTGACCGCATTATACAGGGTGCGCCAGAACTCGCGCCCCTGAGTGAAATGCCATATAAGGTAAGATACCAGGAACATGGAAAAAATGTTAAAAAAATTTTATCTATAAAAATTTCGAAGTTATGAGGGTTTAAAGTTTGCACTTTGACTCTATTTATTTCTGTTGGAAAAATAATTTTCCAAGTTTTTTTGCTATAGGCTATTAAAAGAGGAAACAAGGAAGCTGTATCCTAAATTGTAACTCTGTTTAATGTTATATGTGGCTTTTATTGGCAAAATTTTTGTCCCGTTACTGAATAATTTAAAAAAAAAAAACATATACAAGATCATCAGTATCATAAAATAGATATAAAAAAATGTCAAATGTCATAAAATATATGTCAAGTTGTTTGACAGATAGAATTTTTTAAACATTTTTTTCATGTTCCTGGTATCTTACCTTACTTGAAAATTTTCTCTGGGGCGCGAGTTCTGGCGCATCCTGTATATAAATGTCCGCGACAAGGAAGTATGGAATCTTGGTAAGGCCAACAGTGTAGAGGTGAAGACTCTTTCTGAGGACAAGTTTTTCTCTTAAGTAATTTAGAGATAACGTTAGTAAAACTTTGTGAGTACATACAGAAATATGATATTTAAATAAATAGGTCATTTTCAACCAGCCAAGCTCATTTATTTTATTTTATTTTTATTAAAGCACGTAGCCAAACTGAGTGCTTTAATAAAACTGAATGCTGTGAAATTCTTACCTAACGCACAAATAATGTAGGTACAAAACATTTTGGCCGAGAACAGTTCTTAGATTAATTCATATTTCAATTTGTCCAACACTCAATAAACATAACAGGTCTATGCTTTTACTATTTTCACCACAAAATGTAGCGAACAGAATCCTGCCGAAAAAAAAATTGTACCGTGCGATCAAATAAAAAATAAATTAGAGTAGGCGTCGATTTAATTCTACAGTTGGCAACACATTGGCTGGGAATCTGGGCTGGAAAATTTCAACACAAATTGAAAGTGAAAATGACCATCCACCGTTTTCCTCTTGTACAGCAATAAAAAATTTCTGCTCCAAAGTGAACATTATTTCACTCAAAAGGAATAAAGCGCAAACTTGTCAAAGTTTCCGCTGACATTTGATGTCAAAAATCAAGATTGCCATCTGAAGGACTTTAATCACCGCCTACTCTAATTTGATCGCACGGTATTTATGAATACCTACTAAATAGATAAAAAAATGATATTAATGAAGTACCTATATTTACCATAAAGTATCATTTCTTTCGGGGTCTCTGAAAGCCTAAAATTTTCGTGTTATTTTCCCGCATAACGTGACGCTCGACGTGCGGTAAACTTTATGGATACCTTACAAAAATGAAATACCCTAGCTGTCAAAAATGTGTAAACATATTATTTTTTGACGTTAATTTAAATAAAAAAATTCGTTGTTATTCAAAATCCTACGGTTTTTCTAGTTTAGTTAAGTGTCGTACAAGAAATAATGCTACTTTAGACATATTTTCTGTAAAGCTTAGGTTTCCTAAAAAGCGGTGCCGTAATATGACGGTGAACGACGTCACAAAAACGGTGGCGATCACTTTTGCATTACGTCATTTAAAAATGTTACGTTGGTGTTGACCGTCTTTTAGGAAACGATCTCAGTTTAAAAATATGTGACCGTTTTTTTGTGACGTCTTTCGCCGTCATATTACGGACGTATGTACCTAATATTACGGCACCGCTTTGTAAGAAACCCAAGCTTAAAAGTGAGGTTAAAATAAGTCCGCCCGAGTTGTCTTTATCTGATCATATTGCACTGCAATCAGATGTTCATATGACATTAAACACAAATTCTAAAGAGTTTATAATCAAAAGATTCCATCGTTGATGCAAAGTGCAAGTTTATGTGGTTCAAGGGACACAAGAGTTAAAAAACATACAGGATGCGCCAGAACTCGCGCCCCAGAGAAAAAAAAAATAAAAAAATTGCAGCCGGCATAAGAAAGTTATTAGACCCTTGAATCCACCAATCCCAGAAAGGCACTTCAAGATTGAAAAATTAGCTCCTTCGATGGGTTACAAAAACAATACTCCTACCAATTTGTCCCAAACTTGCAAAAAATAGCTGGTTTACTGGAGTTTTAACATTTATTACTTTCCTGTCATGTATTTTGAAATGATTAATCATTTTTTGAGAGTGTTGGTGTAACGCCAGGAAGGCAGCTAGAATATTTTCTAAACGTTTTTTTGACAGAAATTAGCAAAATCACCTAGGCTATAAGGTCATATTGAGGGCCATTGCCAGGGTGCAAGAGCGGTCAAGACCTACCAGACCGAAAAGAAATTAGACGTGTTCCTGTTTTGTTCAAGCACAAATTCTTATAAAAAGTATTTTTCTGTTAGGTTTGCAAATTGCAATAAAGTAAAGAAACTGGCGTACGTTTTTGTATTTCTGGTTAACCTAAGTCGCTTCCTCATTTCATAAAGATAATGCATTAGTTTTCGGCTTGTTGTCTAAGAAAAAGTTAGGTAAGTAGGAACAATGCTTCTGAAGAAAACATCTAAAAGTATTAGAGAAGTTGTTGGTTCATCGAGTTCATAGGAATGGAAATCGAGTTTTGAATTTTTTTAACGATTTCGTCTCATTATACTTGTGCACATCACCTTCAACCGAGAAAAATTTTCGAAAATAGCCTGTTATGTCAGAAAATTAATAAATGTCAAAATTACAATAGTCCAACTATTTTTTGAAACTTTTAGACAAATTGCTATTATTTTTGTAACCTAGCAACGGATATAATTTTTCACTCGCACCTTGAGGTGCCCTTTTAGGATTGATGGAATTAAGGGTCTCGCAAGTTTCTTATGCAAGCAAAAGTTACATCTTCGGCTGCACTTTTTGGCGACCTATTGCCGCCGGCATTTGACATTTTTCTCTGAGGCGTGAGTTCTGGCGCATCCTGTATATTTGGTTAAAATTGTTGAAACATGTTTTGAGCACTATCTAGTCTCATTTCGGTCTATATTGTTAAATTTAAAAAGATTACAATAACATTTTGAAAATTATTTAAAAAACTAGTTTTAACCACCACTTTTACTTTTTTTAATAAACCTACATCCACGCGCAAATTTAACATCAAGAATTTTTTAAATATTTTTCCCTCACTCACCAAATACTTCCAAATACCATACACTTGGTTGCAAAAAAATCGGAAAATGTCAAAGCATAAAAATGTCAGATTTTTATATTTATCTATAGTTTGAACATGGCTTAATTCTAAAAGGTTAAATTAGAACTGACAGTTAATCTGTAGTACTCACTACTCATTGGGTTTTCACGTAAGTACCCAACTAATTGATTATCTTGATTTGCATTTGATGCTCTCGGCATTTAAGTGCGGGATTGCAGAAAAAAAATATTTGAATGCGACAGATGACAAATTGACAACTAAATTGACAAGGGCAAAATCTGTTTCAATCTAAAGAAAATTCTATTTTCCGTTTTTATTACAACCAACTGTACTATAGTTTTAGTGCGGCATTTTTTAACCTTTTTTTCTGAATTAAAGTCGAATCTGCCAAAAAAATTCAAAAAATTTCTTCCGATTTTACGACTTAAATAGATTGACCCCAGCGCCTCTGCCCCCATACTTATTAGAGTGAACAATTTTTAATATCAATTAAAAATTTTAAAGTAAAAATTTTCAGAGCGCAGTCCACTGTAGGGATGTCGTGCACCCCATCAATAGCTTCACTGCCACAAAATTACTCCAGATGCATTTTTTTGTCAATCAAGTCCACCGGTTACTGAGATAATTAAAAAAGAAATGCCTAAGACCTTTTTTTTTCATTCTGGAAACCACCCCTTAAAATCTTTTTTTCAAGACACTGTATACAGGGTGCGTCAGAACGCGCGTCCCAGAGAAAAATTTAATGTAAGATAAGGTACCAGTAACATGACAAAATTGTTCAAAAAATTTTGACATTTATTTTTTGACATTTGACACTTTTTTATGTCTATTTAATCATACTGATGATCTTGTATATGTTTTTTTACAATTATTTAGTAAAGGTACAAAAATTTTGCCAATAAAAGCCACAAATAACATTGAACAGAATTACAATTTAGGATATAGCTTCCTTGTTTCCTCTTCTAATAGCCTGTAGCAAAAAAACTTGAAAAATTATTTTTCCAACAGAAATAAATAGAGTCAAATTGCAAAATTTAAACTCTCATAACTTCGAAATTTTTTTAACATTTTTTCCATGTTCCTGGTATCTTACTTTATATGGCATTTTTCTCTGGGGCGCGAGTTCTGGCGCACCTTGTATAAAATTGTGAACAATTAGTCAGACGTTTTTTTGGAACACCGGTACACAGAAATGTAAAACTTAAAACTCTACGTATTTTTGTAGAATATTTCTAATAAATCGTACAAAGAATATAATAAAAAAAAACTAACATTGAGGTAAAAAAAAATATTTTTTTAACTTAACTTCACAATAGTACAACTATTAAATATCGCCTTTTAATGATTAATAATAATAATAACCTGTATTGTATTTATCTATTTCAAAAAGTTAAACCACTTTATAATACTATTTGTCCGCGATAATTAATTTAATTGCACGCTCGTAATGCGCATTTTTTCACCTCTCTCTGGCTTTTCACGCTTCAAACAAGCACAATTATTAATTTGCGGCGATAACAAATTCGTTATTGATTAATTTTTTTCATGAAAAATATGCCAATGGCAATGTCAAAAGCATTGCATAAAATGACGTTTCAGCTGAAAGCAAGCGTCCAGAGAAATACGAATCCAAAACGTAACGAAAATATCGAGGAAAATTTCGGCGTCCCGCTGAAAACTTACTCCGATCGTCTGGAGCTTTTCTTAATACTGGACATTATTGATTATAATCCAATTTTAATTTATGTTTCCAGCACATGTAAAGCAGCAAAATCACACTCATGGTTGCACTTTTCGGAACTTAGCACTGCACCGAACACATGACACATGATTTTTCAGTAACACATGTCCTGAAAAACCGCCTCTGAAAGTTTAAGCGCGATAATTAGGACCGAGAGATATAACGTGAGTCTGAAGGCGAAACGCGACAAAAGATTCAAAGCGCAAGCGTTGCGGAATTATCACTTCGTAATCAATCATGTCGTAATAGAAATACAGCCAATCAATTCGCGGAATGCTAGCGCCAGATTTACCCTCTTATATTATTGAAGTGGTTGCTACCCTTGATACGGTTACGTCAGCCCACGTTAAGAAATGTTTGCATTGTATAGGAAATTCTTGATTTGGGGATTGCACATTTCGAGAAAATTCCAAGCGGATTTCGGGTCACGCGACTTGAGCTTTTGATCCATTCATTAAATACTTACTACGGAATTTAGAAATAGTGTTTACGAGATCAAAATTCATTAATAATTACACCCAAATTGTAATTTGTAGTCAGGTCACGTGTATTATTAACATTTGTATTTTTTTTTTATTTATTTAATTAACTTTTAATGTGCATTTTTGTGGTCCCTAACATCGCAAAATTGCGTAAAACGTGGCCTAAATTTTGATTTTTCAGAATTTTTATTAAATAATAACGCTGGAATTGTTGATCTAATAATATTTTTATTAAAAATCTGCAAAATATTAAATGTATCAAAAGTATCAGGACCACAGAAAGGGAAAAAGTACGGGGAAAAAGGAACTCAAAAGTTAAGCAATTTTTAAAATTTTGACAATATTTTGCAAGATCTTAAAAGTATCAGGAGAATTACGTGAATGAAAATACAAACTCGTATTCCAAATTTAAAAAAATAAATAAATCATAAGATTCAAAAGTATGGAAGTACATATTATAATCACAGGAATGTAAAAAAACATTAAAAAAATGTTTTAATAGTTATTTTTATTACAAGTACAACCTAAAATACAGAGTGGTTATAAATGATTTTCATCTAGCCAGCTTTGGAATTTTTTGCATGTAACTTTATTTGTGCCGCTCTACTTTTTTGAAAGCTCTAGTTCTGTCATTAGTGTCACTTATTAATTAATAATAAATGGTTGTTAATTAAACTTTTATTGTTTCAACTAATTTCCAATAATAATTGATAATGATGTATACTTTGGAAGAAAACAAGTTTATAATTGAAGTCTATTTTCGAAGTGGACGCTTAGTAAACGGCCGATTTTTTAATTTTGAGTTAAAACAAGTAGGTACCCCTATTTTCATAAAGCGGCATTTTTTTATTTTACATGGAAAATTCACAGCTGGCTAGATGAAAATCATTTATAACCACTCTGTACATTTTTGCAGACGAATCATTGCTGTTTCCGGGCGAGGCGAAGCCGAGTCTGGAATAGCAGATGAGTCCACAAAAAACGTTTGAGGTACGTGTTAACATTTTTTTTGTTAAAGCTCCCAAAAATTAAAAAAAAATTGCTACCATAGTAACCAAATTGACTTTTTCGTCCGGAGAAACTGTTTTTGGGGACTGAGTACCTACCTAAAATAACCATTTTACCCACTATTTTAATGAGTTCAAAAAAAACTCATTTTAGTTTGTAATGAGTCTCTAAAACAGCTATTTTCGAGAGCGTATACAAAAAAATAATATTTTACCTACAATTCCTATCTAAAAGTGTGTTTACAAAGATGATCACTGCTAAGAAAGTTAATTTTTTCATTGCTAAGGCAAAACTATAATAAAAAATGAAGTTTATTCTGTGTGAAACCAACAAATTGTACTGTATGTTGCAAAGTAGGCAATATGTTTTAGACATCTTAAAATATGATTTGATTGTCACTTTGTTGTTAACGGTAATTTATTATATTTATTATTGTAATAAATTATAAATAAGTCTTAGAAAAAGCCTGATGTTCTACTAGTAAGAAAAGCCTTCTTCATGTTCGCATTATTTTACACACTTTAAGGGTTCGTAGGCAACTTAAACACTCACATGAAACGCTTTTCAACATTTGAAAAACAAGAAACTTCTAAAATAATTAGAAATCACAGAATTACAGAAACGTAAAAAGATCAGAGATATCAATGTTACAAGAACACAATTTTTTAATTAAAAAAAATCGCTAACAATTTTAAACCACAGGAGTATTAGGATTACAGAAATATAGAGACTAGAGAAGTAAATTTTTTACCTCGGTTTTTGCAAAACTTTAATAGTATTAAAAGTATTAATCAGGAGGATTAGGATTACAGAAATGTAACAATTTAAAAAGAAGAACCTATAAAATTTATCAGTATCATGAGTACTAAAATCATAGAAATGTGAAGAGGCATCCAAACTTAAAAAATCTTAAAAACGTTTGCTACAAATTTGGAAGATTTTGAAAGCATCAGGGTTACCAGGATCGCAGAGACGCAAATTTAAAAATTTCTAAACACATGGAAAATTTTAACAGTAGTGGTATTAGAACCACAAGAAGACAAAGAGGTATTCCAAATTTAAAATTGCTAGAAATGTGCAAAATTTAAAAATTTTAAGAGTACCAACATCATAGAAACGCAAAGAAGTGTTCTAGACTTAAAACTGTTATAAGTTTGCAAATTTTTAAATGTGTCAGGTGTACCAATATCATAAATATCATAATACAAAATTAAAAATTGCAATTAAAATTAAAGTACTTATCAGGACAATAATATGAAATAATGTGGATGTATGAAGAAAACTACAATCTCAAGAAAGCAAAAACATATTTAGAATTTCAATTTTTAAAATGTTTTGATTCTGATGGGCTTAAAAATGTCGCTCAGTCCTGACCTGCTAGATTCAATATGTTTTTATTTTTTTTTGCTTATGCAAGTGAAATGCTGTTATGCAAACCAATATACACACTTCATGACAGGTTTTGTTTCAAAAATTCCCAACTTATTATCAGTCTTGTAACTGTTTTGTTTGCCTTTTTGAGCTCAAAATCCGCCACATGCAAAGGTAAAAGAAACAACAACAGATGTGATTTCGAATTCATTTATTCAATAAAATAGTTTGGGAAAGTATAATAAATAATAATAAGTATATCACAATGACAAAAATAAATATATAAAAACTTCTTCATTGGTTTATCTTTTAAAATAGTTATTAACTTACAACAATTATAAAATTATGAAATAAATATTATCAAGTAAACTTAAAAATATTCCTTAATTAAACCGAAATAAATTACAATTATGCGATTAAAACGTAAAAACATTATTCCTAACACGAAATAATGTAAAAGAAATTAAAAAAACTCCGAGACAGTGTAGTTCAGTAGGAAAACCAATAAAAAATCTTACAAAATCATACAATATAAAAATAAATAAATTTTTGGTCGCTTATGAAACATATCACAAATATCATTTCGTAAACCATTCAGTAATCAGAATTTATCCTACCAATCTACAGTAAATATTCAAAAAATTTCCTACGTAAAAATGATTGTACATTAGGTCAATAGGGAATTTTTCTGTATATTTTTCCATCCGTTTCCCCGATCACATTTGGACCAATCCACAGCCAATTTATTTAATTATTTAGAGGGATTTCGATCGTTCGCTCCGAATCGCATGAATCGCTCGCATCCTCTGATAAAGGACAAGTGTTGCGTTCCAGGGATTTCATCCGGATTTCCATCCTTTCGAGCATTTTGTCGATTGCACGGAGACGTTTCTCCAAGTTGGTAGTACTGAGAAAAACAACCTAAACAAAGCGAATTAGGTTTAATTCTCACAAACTGCAATTAATTAATTACTTGTAATTGAGAACTAAGAGGCAGGATAGGCATCAACCACCACGTCCACGACGGCCCATCGGGGAGGCTCAGCCAGTTTTTCTCAACTCGAGGCATTTTCCCAATGAGACGTTCCACTTCGGCCAAGACTTTGGGGGTTAGGGAGGTGATCCATTTTGAGGCTTTGGTGTAGACTTTGTGGTGGAGGGTTATGAGTTCGGGGAGCTTGTCGGAGGAGACAACGGTGTCTTTGATCACTTGGATTTTAGCAGTGTCGTAGCCGTCCTAAAATAAATGAAAAATTGATACTTTTTGATAAATAAGAATAAGTTAAATTGCAATAACAGTAATGTTAAGAGAGTTCAATTTTAAATTATAATTGAATCGCTGTGTGAAAAAAGATGAATTTTTCAACTTAAATGTCTTAAATTCAAAGATTATTTAAAATAAATTAAAAGTTATTAATGATTTTTTTTTAAGTGAATATTTTTCAAGTCAATATTTTTTGGTAATTATTATTTTATTTATTTTATTATTTTAATATACAGGGTGTCCAGAAAGTCGCGCACCTCCGTGACACTGTATCATTGGACGGTGCCCTAACAACAAGAAAAATGTTTAAAAAAAATTATCTATAAAAATTTCGAGGTTATAAGAATTTAAATCTTGTATTTTGACTTTATTTTTTTCTGTTGTAAAAATAATTTTCCATTTTTTTTGCTACAGGCTATTAGAAGAGGAATATTAGAAGAGGAAAAAAAGAAACTAGAACTCTTGTTTAATGTTATTTGTGGATTTTATTGGCAAAATTTTTGTACCATTACTAAATAATTATAAAAAAATATATACAAAATCATCAGTATCATTAGACATAAAAAATAAAAAAATGTGAAATGTCAAATGTCAAAAAATAATTGTCAAGATTTTTTGACAGATAGAATTTTTTAAACATTTTTTTAGTACTCTAAGAGACAACCCAATATTCCCTTTAAAGGAGACTTTCCGGACACCCTGCATTGTCTTTTTGTCTCCATTTTAAAAATTGTTGTCAATGATGCTTTATAAGAATTGTTTTTAGCTTTGATAATATTTAATATCAAATAAATTGTATGTTTTGACAATAATTATTCGTATTTTCGGAATTAAAAAAATTGCAAGATTTTGTAGATTAAAGAAAAAATTTTGTTCTTTCCTTTAAAAAATACATACAAAAGGTGTAAGAAAGTTTTGACAACTGTTTGGCATTTCTCAATTCGAAACGTCAGATTATTTTTAACAGATTTAAAGCAAGTTTAAGCCTTATTGAGACTAATTCGAAGAATAAAATGTTGTATTCAACTCGTTTGGGTGTAAATCGGACGCTTTATTCCACCTCATGGATGATAAACCACTCGTTACACTCGTGGTTTATTAACCCACTCGGTGAGATAATCCGTCCGATTTACACTCAAACTCGTCGAATAAATAACTATTTTTTTGATCATTTGCCTTTAGGAAGAAATAACTAGTAACAATTAAAGTGCTATAAAAATTGGGATCGTGTTTTAAGAATGAAATTGTTTTGTTTTTGATTTTTGTGTTTTTTTTAACTAAAACAGCAACTTTTTTTCCATAAAAATTAAATAAAATGTAGATAGTTGTAATCCTTAAATCTAGCCTTTGTGAAAAAAGGTTTCATACTAGATTGTCCGTGCCATTTAGAAAAATTAAAAATTTTGCAGAACTCAAAACAAAACAAAAATTTTGTTATTCTTGATAAAAAAAAATGTGTTTGCTAAAACAGCATTTTTTTTTCATAAAAATTAAATAAAATGTAGATAGTCGTAATCCTTAAATCTAGCCGTTGTGAAAAAATGTTTCATACTAGGTTGTCCGTGCCATTTAGAAAAATTTAAAATTTGGCAGAACTCAAAAAAAATTTCGAAAAATTTTATTCTTGATAAAACGTCACATTTTTATAGTACTTTATCATTCATCAATTAGTTTTTTTTTTAATAAATAGTTTCAACAAAAAACGTTTGGTTCCATACTTTCTGTTCAGGTGGTATATTTTCTTTGCTCTTGTAATAAATGCAATAAATTCCTTCAACATGTTTTTTTTTTAAATAATCAAATACACATTATGACTAAATTTTATAAGTTACATTAATACTACACACTGTTTCAAAAACATGCTCCAAAGCTTTATTTAGATAGTTCTTGATTAAAAACAAAAAAAAAATTATTAAAACTTAAGAACAATTTTTATTCTTAGAGAATGTACTGGGTGTTATCATTTAAAAGTTAAAAACACCC